GGATCTCATCAAAGTTTAAAGAAATTGTTGTAAAGAAATTGTTACTGCTAAGGAAATAAACAGGCAAGCAGCAGACAGGAAGAAAATATTTACTCTGTGTGTGTGTGTATGTGTGTGTGTGTGTGTGTTGAGTGTGTATGTGTGCGTGTGTATATTTGTGTGTGTGAAAGGACTTGCATTTGAATACATAAATAACTTTTGCAACTCAATGATAAGAATTCAAGCACCCAATAAAAACATAGGCCAAAGATTTGAATACATATTTCCTCAAAGAAGATAAACACGGCAAGAAAGTACATGAATAAAATCTCCATATCATTAGTCATTAGAGAAATGCAAATTAAAAGCATGATGAGATGCCACTATATTTCTACTAAAATGTCAAAAATTTAAAGATAACAATACCAAATGTTGATGAGTATATGGAGCAACTGGAACTCTGACATGTTTTTTAGTGGATGGTTCATCTTCAATTAGTATCTCAAATAAGCAGAGGACTGTACTTTTGAGTCAGTGCTGAGATTTAATTAATATTCATACTTGTTCCCTTTTTCATTATGCCTTCAGACTTTGCTAATTTCCATAGCTATATTATTGTTTATAGCATAGCTAAATATTAAATACAGTTGTACCTCAGTACATAAACTCAATTCTCTCCACAATTCCGGTTACAAACCAAACTGGTCAAGAACCAAATCAAATTTCCCCATAAGGTCAATATCGACTTTAACCATTGAATTTGATTCAGATCTCATCTAAGTTTGCAATCATAAATGTGGAAAGAATCAAGTTTATGAATCAAGGTACCACTGTACTCTTTACATCAGGAAAGAATTATTATTGGTTGACAAATTGTTTTATTATATCACTAGAACACTTGCCATTCTAACATTTAATACCTCATTCTAACTTTGTTCTATTTTAATTTCATAAATCATTTTAGAGACCATACTGTATCTCCTTAGTACCATGTAAATCTTGTAATAACCCTGGCCAAATAGGAATAAAATCAAAACCAGAAACAATTAGGAAATTTAAGAGTGACTTCAAATTATACATCAATTCTGAAAGCTAAATTTCCCTTTCACTAGTTCAAGCTTTATAGACTCAATTAGACATTCAACTGGGCTTGATTGTAGAGTTTGAACTGTGAGATGGAGAAAATTCAAATATGGCTTTATTTACTCCATAACTTTAATTTCCTGTAATCCTCTCACAATCTATAAAATAGCTCAGTGGTCTCTTTGAAGGGAAAACAAAGGATTGCTCCTGAATTTTACCAATTTTACTTCCCCATAAGCCTTATTTGCTCTGTTTGTTATTGTGATTTTCCGAGCCTAAAATCAGATATTTTAGATGCAGCTGAGGGGAAGACAATCTGATATATATTGTTTGTATACAGAGTATGAAATTTCCACCATATTTTGATGATTTATGGAGATAATGAAACAAAGCATTTAAAATCCAATTTTTCCTTTATCCTCTGAGCACGCTTTTACTTGGAGTTATAACTGTACCAAATGTTCTCATCACACCACAGTGGAAATATGTTTTGGTGATATAGCATTAGGTATTACATTTATTCTATGGCGCTCTCAATTCCCTGTGGATTCTGCCCTATGTCAACTTACTGATCTCTTTTCCATACAGCATCGATGGATTCTGCTTTATTGTTCACCTCTTCCTACATTTCTTTAAAATGTAGACACATACAGATTAAATCAGATGGCAGAATTGTTTCTAGTACAGCCTGTACCTTCTTGGAGAAACACATTTAATAAATTAAGAAAAATAATAGCATTTGCAAGAAAAACAAAAACTGCAAGATCAAAACTCCAACTAAACTCTTTAAGCCATTATGAATGACCTCTAAACCACAAACAATGCTAAAGTTCTTGGGAAAACTTTGCTTAACTGGCATTCACAATACATATTAACTCAGAAGTACAATCCTGCCAAAAATGTAAACCAGTCACTGTTTATAAATGTGAAAAAGAAAATTAGCACACAGGCAACAAGAACACATCTTTGATGACAACCTTTCTGCAAACTTCTCTATCAGCACTGGAACTGTGACTGCTGATTTTTCAGAGGTGTGATGGGCAGAGGGAAAAGTACACCCGGAGTCAACAGTGCAGTTGTCTTTGGATGTAGGCACGAGCTACCAGAGCACTGTGTTCACTGTTAAGGAGTCCTGACTTACAGTCCCCAAAGTCACAGCAAAAAGAAAAAGTCACACAAAGGTCTCCAACCTTGGCTGCACTTTAGACTCATCGGAGTATTAGAAAAACAAAAACAACAGCAACAAAAAACTCCATTGCCTGATTTCCTCTTCAAGTCTACTAAATAAGGACCTGTGAGCATGGTAATTGAACATCATTACTTCCCAATAACTCCTGATAATTCTGATGCAAAATTGGGGCTGAAAATCACTGTATTAAAACAAACATTAATGGCTGTTTTCAGCTGCGGCTTCTAAAGCAATAGGAAAAGTAGAAACAGTGTTGAAGTTTCCAGGACCCACAAGAAATCACAGATGCAACCTAAGCATCCAGGTTTTTGTTGTTGTTCGGTTGTTTTGTTGTTTATTTTGGTAGTACTGGTTATCAAACCTAGGGATGCTGTATCACTTAGCCATTTTTATTTTTTCATTTTGAGACAGTATCTCCCCAAGTTTTTCAGGCTGGTCTCAAGTTTGGAATCCTCCTACTTCATCCTCCTGAATTCCTAGGATCACAGGCCTGGGCCACTGTGTCCAGTACGTGAAGGTTTTTGCTGTCTGATTAGTTGGTTGGTTGGTTGAATAGTTGGTTGGTTGACTTGTTGGCTCAGTGTTGTGACACAACATCATTTCTTTAGTAAGCAGAAAGCAAAGAGAATAATGATATAAGGAAATATTTTTAGTAGACTAATTTCTTTAAACATGGACTGCATTTGGGAACACTAACAAGATCTCTGGTAGATCTCCATAGTTTTTGCCTTCAGCAATTCATTCTCCTTTTTTTTGGAAACATCACCCCTATTTCATCCTGAGAAAAGATCCCTCCCTCAGTGTCAGTCTGTTTCGTTGAGTGTATTTCCACCTGGTTCTAGGACACACATGTAGTCCAGGTCTGGATAATGCAAAGACTGCAAACTCTCAGCCAGAATAATTCATTCAAATATGTAACAGTGATCAAAGTTCAACACTAGGACTTTTTGAGAGTGGGAAGTAGTAAACCTGAGCCTGTAGGGCCACACGAGAAAAAAAACCTATTCACTAAAGGCAATACCGAGAAAGGGAGGGAACAGGCAAGAAGGCACAAGCAACAGGACTGTGCTCGTGAACTTGTCAATTATGTAATTAAATAAATTTAATTCCATTGAACTTTTCATTTATTCATTCATTCTGTGAAGGCATATTTGAATACGGATTGCGTCATTAACAGCTAAAAAAATCTTAATGAATGTAAGTGCCTTGCATTAGTGACATTGTCAGAAACACAAAGGCACCTAGAGCAGCTTTACTATTACTGGGGAGCATGCTTTGTTTTGTTTAGCCTTTTTTATCTTTATTAAATTTATTGGTACAATTTAGGTATACAGTACAGTTACATTCATCATTGGGATCTTGTACCTCTACAAGACTTATCTTGGTTCTTATTTTTAACCCCGTTCCCCAGCCCTCCCTTCACCCCCACCACCCTTCCCTGTTTACAAAGACTTTGTTTCCAGTTTTTCCTTTTCTCATATTCTTTTCCCTTTTTACCTTTCCCCTACCCCTCCCACTGTCTCTACTCTTTTAGATCTTTTCCTCCTATTATACAATATCAATAATACATTTCGATCCTTATTTAACTTTTAATTTTTCACACTAGAGAAACTATTCAGCATTTACACGTGTGTCTTATTAATTTCACTTGAGTATGGCCTCAATGTGCATCCACTTAGCTATAAAGATCTCTAGTTTCTCATTCTTTATGGCTGAGTAGCATTCACTTTTAAATCTTTCATTTCCAGAATGAGAACCTTAAGAAAATCTCTAGTCAATCACTCTGTGCATCAATGATTATATATCAAGCTCTGTCCACCACTCTACTAAGTAAGGTGAAAATAAGTAAAAAACCTCATCCCAGCCTGCAGTAAACTTACATATAATCAGAGAGAAAGCAAAATATTAGAAGTAACAGAAGAACACATACGCTTCAGTAGAAAGAATTATTAACTCATATTCTTTAAGTGCTTTATGTGAGCCAACAACGTAGGAAATGTACAAAGAATTCTAAGACATAAATAGTACAACCACTACCCTCAAAGAGCATCTGGTCAAGGATAGAACACGGATACTGAAGAAGATTTATCTGCCTGCAAAGCAACATACTGGGCCAGGGATTTGGTTCAGTGGTTCCACTGCCTGCCTTGCAAGTGCAAGTGCATAAATTCAATCCCCAGTACCAAAAAAAACAAACATACTATCATATAATAATGAAAACAATCCTTCAGTGTCTTAGTCATTTTCTCATCACTAGGATAAGTGGAAGACAAAATACGGACACCTAAAACTTAAAAAAGAAGAGAGGCTTATTTTTTTTTCAGCTTTAATTGAGTTTATTGGTACATTTTAGGGATACAGTACAGTTACATTCATTGTTGGGATCTTGTACCTCTACATGACAAGTCTTGATTCTCATTTTTCCCCTTACCCCTGCCCTCCCTTCACCCCCTCCTCCCCTCCCCATCTACACTTTATTTTCATATTTTCATTATCTCACATTTTTTTCTTTTCCCTTATTACCCTTCCCCTACCCATCCCACCTTCCCTACACCTTTAGCTCCTTTCTTCCCATTTCTAAATGTCAGTAATCTTATTAAGATCTTATGTATTATTGCAGATTATTCTAAAATATGGAACATTACTCAGCCATAAAGAATGAGAAAATAGATTCATTCATAGGAAAATGGATACATATTGAAGATATACTCCTAAGCGAAATAAATAAGAGAGGCTTATTTTGACTCACATTTTCGGTCTATTGTGAGATGACTCAAAGGCTGAAACAGCATGGTAGAAAGGTCTGGGGAGATAACAGCTGCTCACATCATGCTGTCAAGAAGCAGAGAGAGAAGGCAGAAGCTGGGAAGGGAGGACGCCCTTCCAGGTCATTCTCCCAAGGACCTGCCTCTAACTAGGCCCCACCTCCTAAGACCAAGTCAACTACAATGCCCCCATGTTCCAGTCATCTTCCAGAAACCTCATACGTGCACATGAAAGTATTGAGGGTCATTCTTGCTCTAAACCGTAGCATTCAGTATTAAAATCTTAGTGAAAAGCATGATGGTTTCTAATTTACTCTAAAGTTCAGTCTTCCCACGTGGCTTCCTAGGGTCAACATCTTCAGTCTTGGAGGCTCATGTTTATACCTCATGTTTATTGGATGTGTAGGGATGGGTGTCTCCCAGTGGTGCCACAGAGCCTATCTATGTCTTCTCTGTGAAGAGTGTCCTCTTCTCAAAAACAAACAAACCTCCTTCATTCTCCAATTCTCCATCACTGTCAACTTTACCTCATTCTCCAGTTTTTTATCATCCTTTAGCTGTCTGTGTTCTCTCCAACTCTCCAAATTATGTACAGCTTAGTTTCCTGAATTATCCAAATATAGCACAGTCTAGTTATCATATTCAGAGAATGAGGTAGAAGGATAAACCCTACAGAATAGCACTGGGTCCACACGGACACAAATCTCCTCTTTTCCCTGTCTTTTTCTTCCATTTTTCCTCATTCCTTGAACCTCCAAATCCAGATATCGTTGAAAACAGATTACTGTTGAGTACAGAATTGCTTTTGTCCTGTAAAGGAGTAATCTACTAATTCAAATGAGTAATTTGTTGACTCGCTAGCCTGTGTGCACCTGTGCTATATGCTGCAGGTATATCAGAGCACGCATGACGTATACGTCTGTGTATACATATGTTGAGGTTTTGGAGCTTTGGAAAAAAGGAGAGGTCCAAAACAAGTTTCAAATAAAATTCATCAAATGTGGGACCTTATTTGCTTTATACATCCCTTTGTCATTTCTCCAGGAGGTTGGGTAAGAGTTAGATTTGATTACTACTGCAAATATTCCAATACTTCTCAACACATAGAATTTCTCAATAAAGGAATTACAGAAAATCCAAGAATTAAAGGTTCTCTAGTGTCTATTCTGCTACTTTACTACCTTAATATTCCCTTCATATTCTTACTAACCTTTCTGTTAATGCCTGCATAGTAGAGCATGAAGCCCTGAAATGGAAATTACATGACTTGGCTACTTATAATTCTTATTTTTAAATAAAAAGTTGACATTTAATTGAGTGATAGAATAATAATGTTAAAATATTAGCCAGCATGATCCCCACCCACACACCCCAAGTGGTCTCTTACCATTCTTTGGCTAAGTCTCCGCTCAAGTCAGCAAGGCTGTTTGCTCTAATTGTTTCGAGGAAGGGCTGTGACAGCAGAAAAAAGAGAAAAAAGTAATCACTACTTGGCTTTTGAATTCAAAAGCCTAAGTGATGAGGCAAAGGAATAGAAAAAGTCATAACCTGGCAAAGCACTGAGGATAAAATACCAAGAAGAAGCATACAGCTTTCCCTGGATCCTCAAGGCCATTGTGGAAAACAGTGTTGTTCTGGTGTTGATAGAAGTAGAAGCAAAGGAAATGTGATGCAAACACAAACTTTACTGTCTCCCCAAGGGGGTGGGGCTTGTCCGTGCTGCAAGACCAAATCCAAGGTAGGGGGTGAAATCCTGAGAAGTTTGTGAAGTAGGTTGAACCAGAAAAGTCAAATCCTAAGAAAACAGTGATAGTCAAGCAAATTCAGGCAGATAACACTTTAGACAATGCCATAATTTTCCATTCTGCAGTGTAGCAGGGAAGGAAAATTATCTTTGTCAAGGGTGGCTCGGGGCAGCAGTGACTCACTGGACCTAAAGGGACCAGGGGTTCTAGAAGGAGGTATTTATCCATCATAGTCTGACTGAACTAACAGCTAAAGTTTAAGTAAAACGAGGAAAGTCACAGCCATTGTGAACAAAGATCATTGAATTGTGGATGAAGCAATGGATGTCTTCAAAGATGCTTGTATGGAAAACAATATTTAGGAGCAGATTTTGCCTACCCGTACTTCTGCCCATGCAGAGCTACCCATAAGGCAAGATCTTTAATATTAAATAATTTATAAAGGCAGATGGAATATCTGTTAAGCTCTATAAAAAATGACATATTTAAGTAATCAAAACCTATTATCCAGCTGAATAATAATGTTCAAGCGACTGTTTCTGATGCAAAAACTCCTTTTTCATATTGATGATCACAAATGTCTGAGTGATCTCTTGCTAAAACAAAACTGATCAAAATTTTACCACTGACAAATATGATCAGCAGTCATCACATCACCTTAGATTAATAAAAGCTGAAATATTCACACTCAGCCTTCTTAAAAACAGATGCATGCCTGAAATACTTGCAAGGCAAGCAACACCAAAGGCATCACTTGAAACAATGCTCAATAACAGTGCCATTTTTCCATTCCCAGAATAACAAGTGGGTGGCTAAAGACCAGAGCAGGATACACCTCTGAGCTTTTATCCTGTGAGTAAATTTAAAAAGTATTTATAATATCACTCATCTAATGCCTCCACACTTTTGTGCTCCTTTTGCATTGAATGATCAAATATTTTAAGCCCAGAAGCAAAGTGCAATGAGAGTTTAAAAGGAGTCCGTGGCAACTATGTCACATACAACAGAAAATCTAATAGAATTAGAAGTACTGTATCCATTGGATTTGACACAATGCCCATCCTTTTGTGATAGTAGAAAGGGTAAACTCTGGAACCCTGCAAAGCAGGCATTCCCAGCCCCTGGTGCCACAGACTGGTACTGGTCAGTGGCCTGTTAGGAATGCAGCCGCACAGAAGGAGGTGCAGCTCGCACGGTGAGCTGGCAAACAGATTCATCTATTTTCAGCTGCTTTTTCCATCACTTGCTCGCATTACTGCCTCAACTCCAGCTCAGATCATCAAGCATTAGTTCCTTCTTAAGCATGAATCCTACCATGAACTGTATATGCCAGAGATATAGTTCTCATGTTCTTCTGACAGCCTAACACCGGGTGATCTGAGGTGGAGCTGAGGCAATGATGCTAGCATTGGAGAATGTAATTATTATGTATTACAAACATAGACCAATTTTTTTTAAAAAAAAGATGTTAATTTCCTCAGCTGTGAAAAAAAAAAATTAGATTCCATAAAACCAGTCTCTAGTGCCAAAAACCACTTACTGGACCTTGTATATCCTCACTCCCCCTAATTCTTTTCTATCCTTTCAGACCATCTCTTCTTTATCTCATTGATGAGCTCTTCCTACTCCTCCTGGCTCTCAAATACTGATGCTCACTAGACTGCAATCTTGCCTCAGTTCTTCCCCTTCTTGGCTTTCCCCAGATTATCAGCATTATCAACCACTTGTGGAAAAAACTCCAAAATCATTATGTCCAGGTGTATAATTATTAATTATGACTCTTAACCCCCAGTGGTGGCCACAGAACCATAAGTGTCTATATTATGAGAGAGCTGTCTTTGTTACCTATTTATACGACCCATAGCCAGGTGAATGGAGGTAGCAGAGTCAGCATATGTAGTTAGTACAGTTAGAGCCAACATATAAAAGTTGTATGTAGTACATACAGTATGGTTAAGAAAAATATCACACCTAGGGCTACCACTAATGAAGAAACAACTCTCTAACATGTAACTTTACCACTGGGATGGCTAATTTTATGTCAACTTGAAAGGATTATGAAACATCAAGATTTAGTAGAGCACATTTCTGGCTGTGCCTGTGGATGACTGATTGTATAGGTCACAAACTGAGGTGAGAAGACTTACCCCAGATATGGATGGCACCAAGAGTGTGCTTACAACCTGGACAAAATGAAAGAAAAAGAAGAAGCAGGTGTTCCCTTTGCTTCTTCAGAGGAGCTCTGGTCTTCACCATTGCCCTGGACATTCACCCCCCAGGTCCTTCAGGCTTCCAGCATGGATTATTTAGCTTTCCAGTGCAGACCCCTTGGCTTTCCAACACACAATCTCACAGACTGCAGTGAGCTCCAGGCCCTCAACTGGATCCTCCCACTTGCCATCACACAGATGACCCTTCTGTATTACCTTCTCCATGGTTCCACAGGGAGCCATTGTAAGTCTACTTAGTAAATTCCTTATACAATATAAACTCTAATGAAACCGGGATTATTCTCTGTCTTCGTTACATTGAGTCCTCTGCACCAACAGCTGTACCTAGTACACAATATCTGTTCAGTAAACATTCTGCGGAAGAATGAATGAATTTTCTTACCCTACATAAGCTTCTTTTTCTGCCAGGCACATTTTACTTTTTTTCTTATTTAGCAAAAATTTATGTTTCTCAGTAAAATTTATGTATTTATTTTCAAAGGACATCATCCCCTGCAAAAAAAGTCTTTCCAGAAATTCCAGTTAGGGCGAATTGTTCCTCCTTTCTATCCCCACGATATTAAACATGGCATCATCTAGCATCTACCTCTCTATTACAATGACATAAACCTAAGCCTACCTCTTGCATTAGACTTCAACACCCATCAGAAGAGAGAGCATGTCTCCAACTGACACATTCAGTGATGATATGTTAAGCATGCAGTGGGAGGCATGGAAAGGCACTGGATGCTCAGGTGAGGCCTTCCGTCTTCTGATGTTTGCAGGCAAATAGCTTACTCTTCAGTGAACTCCCAACTCTTACCTGCACTCAGCACACTGTGCTGATTAGCAAATGTCTCTATTTGAATGTAATAGCTTATATTGTATTTGTGAAAATGGTTTCTCTTCATATTAGCTCTCTTTCATCATGAAATTTGGAGAACTTTACTGAGTAGGTTCTGCAACGTTTTCCCCACCCAACAAGTCAAAGGCACTCATGCATTTTCACTGAGCAAGCTGCAAAGTAACTCAGAGAAGGTAAAGAACTAAACTGAGTTTCTAGTTTATTTTTTACATCAACTTTATTGATATATACAAACATGTACTAACTTTAAGTAAACATTTCAATGAGTTTGGGCTTAAATTATTAACCATACAACCACCATTACAGTAAAGATATAGACCCTTTCCTTCACCCAAGAAAATTCCTTTACCTTCTTTTCCAGCCAATTCTGCCAGCTTTCTGGCCCCAGGCAACAAATGATGTAAATTAGATGTATCTTTTCTAATTTTATATAAACAGAATCATACAATGTGTACATTTTTAAGTCTGACTACTTCTACATAGTTTAATGGTTTTGAGATTCTACACTATCTATACTATTTCCTTTTTATTGGTGAGTAGTAATCCATTATATGGATGTACCAACATTTGCTTACCCATTCTTAATTAATATTTAGGTTATTTTGACTTGAATTAATTATGAGTAAAGCTACCATGAATAGTTACATAAGAAACTTTGGTGTATAACTCTTTCCATTTCTCCTGTATGAGTACTTTGAAGTAGAAATCCTACTGCCTGCTGGGGTTCACAGCTGGACCACAAGCTTCAGTATTAAACACCAGCACCAAAATGCAGGAATAATAATTATTTATGACTCACAGGAGATACACATAACAAGATTATTGTGAAATAGACTCTTCTAGATTGAACCTTTGTCCTCAAAGAACTTAAAATAATTCTGAGGAGCAGGATAAGGGTAAAATTACATTTTCCTTAAACTGTTAGGGCTTAAATCCCACATTCACAAAGTTCATATCAGAAGTAACAGAGTTTACTTAGGAGTAGCAGAATTAATTTGTTGCCCAATAAACTTTTTTAGTAAAGACAGAAATTAATATTTTTATTAAAATAAGCTTTTATTTCTGCATATTTGCATTTTCTGTGTAAAAGTTCATCCACACCATCTTCTATCTACCTACTTATAAAATTTCCGTTAAGCTGTCTACCTTTGATTGTCATCATATGTATATTGGTGGTGGTAGTATAAATGAGAAAAATATATAATAAAATAATCTGTTCTGATCAAGTCTTCAAAAACAGCATGACTGTAGTTTTTTGGTTTAGAAAGTCCTCTTGTAGGGCCAGGGATTTAGCTCAGTGGTGCTACTGCCTGCCTTGCAAGCACAGAGTCCCGAGTTTGATCCCAGTACCAAAATATAAAAATAAAACAATTTTTTAAATTTAAAAATATTAAAAGATAGAAAGAATCCTTGTTTAATGGAAACGTTAAGAATTTTTATTATAGTAATTAAATACAATCCTGACATTTATAGTTGAAATTTTTAAAACTTTTTATAGTTGAAATTTGTAAAGGCTTTGAATTAATGTCAAGTATTTTCATGAAAATATCTAAAATGATATATATATTTACATTATGTATGTATTTTTATATATGTACACTAATACATAAATTCTTGATAGTTGTTTTTCTT